CAGTCTTTTGGTCAGTCGGTCGGTCGGTTGGTCGGTCACTGAGGCGGTAATCGGCTAAATGAGTTTGAGCGATGTCGTCAAATTGTGAGGCGACCGGTCCGTCGGTCGGCGACGACGACACAACGTCACCGGCATCTATCTGTCAGCAGATGCGGCGAAACGACTAGCCTCCGTACAACGTGACTCATTTCCTCATTCTTGCTTCCGGTCTTGACCTCATTTTCGACCTGGTCTCTCTGTCTGTCGTCGTTCTTGCTCACCGGCTCTGATCATGGTTCGCGGCCTGGTCGTGAACCTGGTCAAGGCGACCGAGAAGCCACTGACCTTAACAGAGAAACAGTACCTGCTGGCCAGCGAACGCGGAGACGTGTCGTCGTTGAAGATGTTTCTTACCGCCGAACACGACGACGGTGCGTTTAACAAGAATTGCAAGGACCCCCTTGGCAGGACCAGTCTTCGGATCGCTGTCGACAACGAAAACATAGAGATGATCGAGTTGTTGTTGGAAAACGGCGTCGAAACTGGAGACTGTCTGCTGCACGCAATAAACGAAGAGAATGTCGAAGCGGTGGAAACCATTCTGAACCACCTCGAGCAACAGGACGAATTCACGATCGAGGTATGAGGACTCCTTTGTTCATTGCGCGCATTTCCGGTTCCAACTTCTTTGCTCCTCGGTGATCAGTCGTGCATCCGTCATCGGTTGTAAGCTTTCGGACACTGATTCCGCACCACTGCGCATTCAGGGTCGAAGGCAAAAAATACAGATATTGCCGGTAGACAATAACTTCTCGCCTTCTATTGAATTTTACTGAATTTCATACCAACTCTGTGTCAATATTTAGGTTGATACTTTGGAACACATCACATTTTCCATCATCACTTGTATCAGAAGGTCTGTTCACTAGAAGAATTGCCAACTAAATGCAATTGATTCAAAGACTAATCACGAAAGCGGGTTATAATAAAACATAATATTCAACACCGCAATATTCTAACACAATACTGAATTTAATGTTGAAACACACCTAATTGAAAATTTCGTCCAAAACCAGCGGTGTTTCACTATCATTCCTTACAATCAATGTGACTGAAACGGGGTTTCGTTTGGCACCAAGGGTTCATGAATTCTGCAGGAATGGAGTGTTTGTTCGCCGCAAACATATCTGTCCTTAGAAATGTTTTTTGACGACCTGCAGTCACCGATTTTTAGCATGCAATTTTAATTCGCTGATGCAACGAACATAATTTTCTCAGAATCCATGTTTTGCTCATGAAAGATTATTACTGTAGGCCCAATTACCATTTTGGTCTTAAACTATTTCAAAATTTTCCACTCCTCCCTGTTTTCACACAGTTTTTGGTCAAACGAAAAATAAAACTGAACTAGCTCTTAATTGTAATCAGGCAGCATGCTGTGAAGCACGAGAAATAAATGAATCTGATCTTTCCACTGCACATGCTCAGTTTCCTGTAATTCGCTTACGACTAGGCAACTTTTTGCGCAATTACTTTAAATGCAGCAAACCTAATGTACTTTCTAATCTTCAACATGGTATAACATATCCTGTTGCAACGATGCATCTGCGTGCATAGCGAAATGCGTTGGCAATATAGTGTTTAAGCTTGTATTGCTTAATACAAACCATCAGTTATTTTAATCCTCAAATAATTGATGCTGAAATGTTGAAGCAAATATAGAAGTGCCGACTTGTGCTTATTTTATTGGCATCTTCCAAAGGTGATCTACAGCCATCTCTGAAAGATTCACAGCTGAGTGTGGCTTGAGGGGCATGCGCATGATCGTGCGTAAAACCACGAGCCTAGTGCTTAATAGTTTCCCTTCCCGCTGCGTTCTGCAGATGCGTTGAAGAGGAGTGGAAGAGGCAGACAAGTTCACTGACCCCAGGGTGGGATTCACTGGTGCTGTAAAATGGGAGAAAGAGACCGACGAGTACATCCGGAGGACAAGCACCGTAATTCGTTAACTATCCCGAACCGAGCTGAGTTGGAAGACTATGTTCAAGTCGATTTTCATTTACGCTTCCCCATGATATCAGTCGTGGGATATGACTGAAAACGACTGAACTTGGCATCATGAGACAATTCGCCGGGCTCACTTGTCTCTGCATCGTTCGAAGTTCAGATATTCGAGACAGGCTTGGTGCACAGCCACTGCTTCTCCATACTGAAATGACTCAACTACGATGGTTTGAGCAATACCTCCAAAAAGAGTGCAAAACAGCTACCTCATAGTCATTTGACCCGCCAAAGATCCCCGGGAAGGCGAAAAATGAATTAGAGCAGATACCTGGACGAGCTTTTTTCCAGACATGGGGTTATTTTCTGGCATTGCTCATCAACTGGCGCAAAATCGTGGAAGTTTTTAGTACTGCATGACCGGAAGTGACAATCAGTCATCGAAAATGAAGCAATTTTAAATGTACAACCGATATTAGTACACACAGTTGCTGAATGAAATAACATTCGTTTAAAAAATCATTGGCCTGACGATGCTTTACAAGTGTTGGAATGAAAAGAAGCCCGTCATTCCTTCCTTATAAGCAACTTCTTCGCCGGATCAACAATTTGCTATTGTCGTGGTTCGAAAATCCTTCATCCGACTTCTTGTCATCGTTGAAATCACGCCACGAACGATAGTCAAAGCTCTTTTAATCGTTTCCGTTGTTGGAGGCTTTCTGACGATTATTTGTTTGGCAGTCCATTTACGGTGCCAACCTTAGTGAACCGGCAGATTTTTTCCAGACCTTCATCAAATCCAATGGATTCAAGGAAGTAGAGCACGCTATGATGTTTTGGTTGCAGAAAAGTATCATTAACGAGAGGCAGGAAACCACAGTCTCAACCTCCGGATGGAGTGTGCCTGCACCACTTCCACGCTTTCACTTCAGCAGCAAATAGTATGGACATGTGATCAGAATATCTGAATGGAAACCCGCAAGACAATAAATTCGTTTGTTAGCAGAACACATAGA